CCGCTGTTTGTTGGAATTTCCATTCAGTTTGGAGCAGAGGAATTTCAGTCTGTGTCGGTGTTTAAACTGAGGCACAAACGGGAGGAGCCAGCACGAGCTGGATGACAGCTCTGTTGAGATCACATGCTGAGATTTTAATTTGGCATAGCCTACTGGTGGTAATCAGTTTGTTGAAATGAAACAAACCATTTTTTTAAGTTGTATTGACTCTGGAATGGGTTCTGAATTCAACTGACTTCCTTTTCTTTATGACCTGCAACATTTTAACCCTCACTTCCTCCTTTCTCTGTGAACAGAATGAACAGAATCCATTAAGCGTCACAGGCAGAGTTTAAAACCTCATATTTTAGTCCATTGCTTTGGTTTTGGAGAGGACMAAGCTCAGCTTTAGCAACACAAGCATGGTGGAAGCAGAAACGAAAGGTTTGAGTCAACATGAGGATTGTGTCTCTAAATAGACTCCCAGGCTCAGATCTATGATGACAGTCATAGTTTGACTAAAACGTAAGTGAGTGAGGCAATGAAGTTACTTTTGGTTAACTTCTTCTGACGCCTGAAATCCTCTTCATAAAAAGAACTACAGCATATAATGCATTATGTTTTAGTTATTCAGACTCTGCTGTCTTTTCTTCCTGATCTGGAAGCCAGATTGTGCAACTTCCTGGCTGTAAAAATACTGCATGATTAGTGGGGACAAAAGGACTTCCATTGTCTTAACTTTTAACTCCATGTTCAAAGTCTGTTAGTGTGGATGAAACACAGGAACTTTCTTCTTCAGCACATCTTTTGGACCACCTCTGCAGCACTTAGCGTTATTCTTGTTTGTATGAAAAACACTCTAGTGACTGATGCAGCACACAGTTCCCTGCAGAGTATCAGTCTGTCAGCTGGTGCCAGATCATAAAAACCTGCGTGTCGCCACACGTGTGGGATCATAGACTCACCAAAAAAGAATGAAACTTATTTTTGTTGTCATTGCTTTAAAGAAGCMCTGCTTTTAAATGCAATTTGAATATACTTACCGTATTTATTCATGTCTAATACGCTCATCGTTTTTTGAGCTTAAAATTTTAATTATCAATAACCCATGTATAATACTACTATACTACTACCCCACCCCCCACACACACACACACACACACACACACACACTTTACGGATAATTTATAGGGTTAAATTTCTAGTATTACTTGAATAAATATAGTAATTCACTCTACATTATTAAACAACGGCTTAAAATAAAGCTGCAAAATCTTTAGACTATTCTGAGAAATTACAAAATAATAATAAATAATTGGAATAATACATTTACTACAATAATCCCCACAAATATTTACAAAAATATATAATTGTGCATGACAAAGTGTTGCAGTGACTACGTTATGTCCAGAGTTGTAAAGTAGCGAAGTACAAATACTTTGTAACTGTACTTAAATAAAAATTTTGGTTATCTCTACTTTACTTGGGTAATTATTTTTCAGCCTATCTTTTACTTCTAATCCTTACATTTTTACACAATTATCTGTACTTTCTACTCCATCCGTTTTTCAAAAGGGTAAGAAGTAGAAAGTATATAGTATATAGTATGTATAGAAAGTATATAAGGATATTTATATGAGAAGTATAAATATACTGCAGGTAAAATAAGTATTGAACACGTCACCATTTTTCTCAGTAAATATATTACTAGAGGTGCTAATGACATGAAATTTCCACCAGATGTCGATAACAACCCAACAAAGAAATCAAACCATAAATGTCCAGAAATGAAGTTTTTTGTAATAATGTGGAAT